AACAAGCTCCAGAATAAATTTGCATTTACAAATACAACCAAAAACAGACAAGCCGAAGAAGCAAATTGCTGACTTCATCAACCAGCATTGTCAAGGTCAGTGTGGCATTGTTTATTGTGCACGGCGAAAAGACACTGTTGATCTTGCACCTGAACTAAAGTCTGCAAATATCAATGCTGTTTTTGTTCATGGTGATCTCAATGATCTTGAAAGAAGAAAGCATGAGCATGCCTGGACTATTGGTCTTGCCCAAGTGATATGTGCCACTAAATCATTTGGCATGGGTATTGACCGAAAAGATGTTCGATTTCTCCTTCACATGTGCTTTCCCGAAAGCATAGAGGATTACTACCAAGAAATTGGCCGTGCTGGTAAAGATGGACTACCTGCATTGTGCACACTGTTTTTCAAACATGAAGACCGATCATTCCATCTCCATAACATACTTAAAATTGAAGACAAAGACTATCAAGAACACAAATACAACATGATGAATAAAATGGTAAACTACTGTGACAGTGGTTCTTCATGTCACCACAGATGTATTTTATCATACTTTGAAGAAGTTTCACCAGAATGTGAAGAACATTGTGACATTTGCATTGGAGATATACAATCACAGAAAGACTGTACTATTCTAACTATTCTAGAAGTGCAGAAGAAGGCGACTGTTTTTCTTTCACAGGTTTTGCTTGGGTCATCTGCATCTGAACTCAAAGCTTTGTCACTAGATGTAGCTCATGGATTTAGATCTGCAAAACCTTACTATCAGCAAAGAACTGGAAGGAAGCAACTGCAAAGGTTAATTTACCATCTCATTGTTAAAGGGATAATTAAAAAAGAAATAGCTGGTACTACCGAAAAGCCGACTATATTATTAAACCAAGGAAATACTGAGAAATTAATGGATAATAAGGAAATAATCTTGTTTTAATTTTTGAATTAAATTTAACCCTATGGGACCGGTTGTTCAAAGCTGGGTTGACGCAAATCTGGGTCAAAATTTAACACACTGTTTTAGTTTGAGTACATTTTCACATCTGTTTATTTCAAAACTTTGGAAAAAAACTTCTATTGATAGACATGAATTTTGGAAAACTATCTTCATTTTTCTAAACAGAGGTGTTGGGAAGATGGCTTTGAAATTTGCATTAATTAACCTAGGATTCTGTTAACCAGCTTTTGAACAACTGGCCCCTGAGTGGCAAATGTCCCCTGGTACACCATACTTGAGGGAATCCCCCCCCCCCCAAAATACCCTAAATCAAATACTGTATATTGCAGTGAATTTCATTAATTCATAAAATTATTTCCATTTTCCATTTACAAGGTCACACTGGTCGACTTTTAAATAAAACACCATAATTTTGGTGTTGGTTAGACTGGAAAAATTAGTCCTACTTAAGAGCAAGTCCTTTCTGACTGGACAGACTGGTTTGACTTTGTAAATGGAGAGTACCCATTACATTACACAATGTCCTCAAAATTATGACACATTAAATTGTCAGATACTACACTGTATTCTATCCCCTATTCAGTGGTTTCATGTGTTTTTCAGTATGCTGGAATAGAGCATCTGAGAAAATCTGAGATGAGAATATCACAGACTAAGAATTTCATGGCCTATGAATATAAATACAATTCACCATGTGTATTGTATTCGCCACATCCGAAGCTCTGTACCAGCCTGCTGAAAAGCTTAAGAAGCCTCTGGAAAGTGCAGTAATTTTAAGTTATTTATCAGTTAAAAGCTGATACCTCAAATCAGGAAATGAATCATATAACTTAAACTTAAAGTTTTGAGAAATTTTTATTACTCCTTTCTCAGTAACATCAAGAAAAGCCTTTGACACTTTACCACTAGGTTTTCCTTGACCATCTAATGGGTAACAGCAAGGGATTTCTTCAGGTTCTCTCTTAGGATCCAACAAACCATTTCGTAAACAGAACCAGGCACCTTTCAGTTGGTCAGCAAAGGGGTCGGCGACTGAATGTCGAGTGGTTGTGTGCTCGTCAAACCCCGTCTTCGAAGTGTATGCTCCCCTGCTTGCTTTAAAAAGATCTATAGAGCCCATCACCCTTTGGCACATCTTAACTGATGTGTGGCCTGAAAAAAACAACAAATTAAGTTGGGAAATACAGCCAATTAATCCATAGATGGATTTCAGATTTTGCTCTGGGGGATTGTGAAAATTCAGGGGGGTGTGAGTGAGGGGGCACTTAGTGCTGCCGAGCAAGGTGGGTCTGGAGGCACATTCTGGTGTCAAAGGGGGTGAATCCCATAGGAAATATTTGGTCTCATGCTCTCATTTAGTTCAACATCCTTGTTTCAAACACAGTATACTGTTATTTACAGTGCAAATTTCTCTAGGTGGGCTGAGAAAACTTTCTGAGGTGGTGCAAAATATTGGGCGGGGGGTGTAGACCTGCCACTACAAAATCTGTATATGAATTAATCATGTGGTAATATTAAAAAATTATACAAGTTTAACACACACACAAACAGGGCAAAACCAGCACAAAAGCACAAAAAATACATGAATCATACCTGACATGTACACTTTGAGGGGTTGCACAATTTCTGCTTCCACAAAAGCATCAAGCTCAATTCCACATCCCTTTCGTCCAGATATGTTGATGGAGCAATTGTTCGCCAAAAGCTGTCGGAAAGCAAGTGGCCATTTACCAAGGAGATTGACCACATGGTTGGAAAGACTCTGAGTAATAATTTCTAAAGTTCAGTTGAGCATAAACTGGTAACTGAAGAATGTAAGTTGTTTCTCTTGCTTTTCCCCAGCAATGTTTTGTTGATAAATCAAATAGCTCCAACATTGGTCCGTAAAACAGGAACATCTGACTTCTGTATTTGAAAGCAGTACTGGTGCTTATTGAATGATCAAGCCAGAGTTTAAAGTGTTCAAGAAGCAATTTAGAGTGACTGCCTGTTGCTCGAAGCCACTGGGACATCTCAGCTTCGGTTGGGTACAACTCTGATTCTTTAAATTCCAATACTGCTGCCAAACCATATGCTCTTGCTCCATCTCGTACTGCTTTTCTTATTTGATCCAATTTACCTTCAGCTAACTTCTTCTTGAATGCTTCCACTGTCAGCTTTGGTCTTTTCAGGACCTTGGCAATCCGGTAATGAAATCCACCAGGGCCTTGCTCTTTAAAACAGGATTCTGCAAAATACCCTTCAGTATGTAGATCTCCTGGGATGATGCCCACCAAGTTGTAGGCAGTTGATCGAGAAATAACACCGCAATTGGTCTTACATGTGCCAACATCACCAACAACTCCAGTAATAAATCCAGGAGTGGCTCTCTGAAAATTTTTAGTCACCACACTATCACTGTGTGTTCTGGGTAAATTGGTGGATCGTGAAAAAATTGGATCATATGCTGCTATGTCATCATCTTCAGCATCAGACACACATGGATTTAAAATTTCAACAATCTCAGCCAACTCTATTTTCAGGGCAATGGCTAGTGGGCTTGGAATATTAGTAAAGAGTGGTCCTCTTGAACAAGCTCTACTATTCACCAACAATTGACAAGTGGCCTTGTTCTTCAAGGTAACTGCAATTAGCAGAGGAGTAATGCCACATGTCTCTTTTACATTTGGATTAAATCCAGCATGAAGTAGACAATCGACAAGATTTATATTCTGCTTTTCCACTGCAATATGCAATATTGAACGGCCAAGGTGGTCTCGTAAATGTCTCACCTGTGTGTTGTCTGACAGCTCCTTCACAAATCCTTCCAGGGTATCCGACTGAATTGAATTCCAAAGTTTATTTTTGATTGAATCAAATGTACTGATAAAAACCTGGTCTTCTCGACGAAACACCTTTTGCACATTTTTGACAGTTGTTTCAGGTCTAGGTATTCCTACATTGCCACTGTCTGGCTCATCCTCATCACTTTCACCATCTTTATCACTATCATCTTCATCACTTGAGTCATCTTCACTTTCATTGGAAACCATAGCCCCATGGTTCTCAGCACTGGAAAGTTGAGAATCATACTGCCTCATTTGTTTCTTGTGATGACTCATCATAAGCATAAATTCAGTATGATCTCTTGCCTTCTTCAAACAAAAAGATTTGGAATTACTGTCAAAAGGAAGATTTTCCACATGTGAGACTTTCAGAATATAAAATTCTTCTCCAAACTGATCCAAAATTACACCTGTTCCAGTAAGGTTGCTGTTATTTTCCACACAGAGAGGCAAAATAACAGTGTCTGACTTAATTCATGAAAGAGATGTGTCACAATTACTTTTCGGGGAAATCTTTAAATCATCTGTGACATTGTACGTTTTGGTGGACAGACAATGGTTACAGTCTGATTCAGACATATCTTTCAGGGCTTTGTCAGTGCGTGGACATAAACCATCCTTTAACAGTTCTGTTAAATAGTTGTCTTTATCGCTGTTCCAAAGTTCAAAGTGTTCTCCATTATTCTCAATGGAAATATCTTTGAATGTGAATTCAGTCACATCACATTGACTCTGTGTGGCTGTCTCCTTGCACGCAAACAAATCTTCTAAATTATCTAGACGGGGTATTAGTAGACCTCTTATAGTAAAATTCCACATGTTTTCACCATAGGCTTTAAACAATCTGTGATGTTGTTTGTTACCTCGGTATATGTTGATATTATCCATTAGAAGCAGCAAAGGAAGTTCTTTTGGTGTCAGTGAAGTTATATGTGCAGTCTTCTTGTCTAGCTGCTTGTCAAGAAAGTTCATCAATGTGTCCCAATGAATTGTGAGACCAATCTTGTTAAGCATATTCACCAAATGATACAAGCATTATTGTAAACATTAATGTTATATCATTTCTACATTGTTTGTTCCTTAGGCTGGCAAGAAGTGCAAGTGCATGTATTGCCCCTTTCCTTTCTTTCCTTTCTATCTGAATTATCACATAGGAAAAGCACTTCAATAATCCCTGTTAGAATAGGACAATCTTTTTTAATATTAAGTTGAAGGTTTTGAAACACTGAGCTATTTATCTGCACTTCAGCAATGCTCTCACCACTTCTAACACCCAAATTGACAATGTTTGATAATTTCTGGAATTCATCAACAAGTGGACCCTGTTCACTGGCAGACAGTTTCTTGTCATGTTGCAAAAGAAATTGAAGTTCCTTTTCATAAAGGATGTCAATATTTTCTGAAAGTGCAGACACACAATCCATTTCTTTGTTGTACATACATAAAGGCTTCTCAGGTATGTATTGTCGACCGATGACATTATACAATCCATCATGGTTTTGGCCTTTTGTGTATGTATTAAAGCAACTTCTTGTAACCGATGTATTTCTGAGTCGCGACGAACTTCAAAGGAGGGTGTTGAGCTGCCACTTTCAAAGGAAACTGACCGACGAATGTTCCTGTATTCACCTTTACGATGGTCAACTTTTACTGAGGAAAATGCTTCTTTCACAGCTCTTGTCGCCAGACGCTTGTTGTCCGTCTCAAGAGCTTCCATTACATCTACACGACTTGTTGTTTTGCCAGGACTTTCCACAAACTTTTCTGTTAAGACGGTATGCAAATTCTTCCTTCTTTTTCTACAACAATCGCTGTTTAGGTTGGAACGCTTTGCAGAAGGTTCAAACTTTTAAGGACTGATTTGGTGTTTCTTGCTCTTTTTGGGTGTGCTAGAGGCACAAGGCATCAATGCTTCAGGCTTGTTATCTTCTGTTGGGGAATCTGTGAAAAAATAACATCAATGATGTTACATCATTTCAAGTAATATTACAGGGTGGGGTAAGTACCCCCCTTCCCCCATGTAAAATGACATACCTGGTTCTTTGTCGTCACATATGATGAATGTGTTAATAAAAGTTATGTTTTTCTGCTTACTTGTGCAGCTTTGAATATTAGTCGATGAAACTGGTTATTTTAAGTCAAATGGCACTTTTGTGGCAGAAATTCATCAAACATTGTTAAATGATCTGTATAGTGTATACATACACCTTCTGACAAAGGAGGAATTTAAGATAAAATGATAAATTTTCTCTGGCTGAATGGGATGACATTGTTGAATATGAAATGACAGTGTGACACAAATAATTGTTTATATTCACAGTTTAGGTTTACTTCATGACTAATTCAATTTGACAACAGTATTATAGCATTGTCTATAGAGTTTACAGTACCCAAAGTATTCAATATTATATTATATAGCATCCATGCAAGGGCATACAGATCTCACTCAGGCAAGTTTCTCGTTTGCTGGGCTCATATGAACAAGCCTTTAGTAGGCAACATTTCCATACCCCATCAACATCCCCCTGCCCCAGGGTTGTAGACACTATAAAATTATACTGATGAACATATAAAATAGATTGTTTGTCACTTTGTCTAATATTGTTGTTGTGGAAAATTGTGGAACAAAACTCTTAGACTTTATAATAAACTTGCTATGAGCATGCCGTTATATATGTTTTCTTAGTGAGAGTCAAGAAAGTCTTCTATATTTAAATAAAGTATTTAAATAATAGTAAAAATAAAACCCCAGAAAAGTAAGAAAACAGAGTAACTAGAAAGGTATTAAATACAAACTTACCATAGATTGACATGTTTTGAATCGATACGTCCAAAATATCGACTTCTGAACCTTCGGTAGAACTCAAATCAACAGCTGCAACCGCAACTTGGCTCGATGAATGCATATTTTCATCATGGCCGTCAGCTGGCTCCTCCATTGCAATGAAATAAACGTGTAAACACAAAAATCACGACAAATCACAAATATCACTGCACGAAAAATCGGGACAACAAACAACATGGTGATTTTGATATTTAGCGGATTGCAACAAATCGCCAAATTGTATAAGATATCGCTACAAATGTGGCAGAGCTTTCCCCTTCCTCCCCTTGCATTGCCCGCGTTTTAATTTTCAGCGGTGGTTTCTCTCGCTTCGGCAAATCGCCTGATATCGAAGCTTCGCATTGTTAAAAAGCCAGGAAAGCTCTGCGGAGGAGATAGTAAACAGTGCATAATTCTTACTGCTGTACCTCTTTGGACTGTTGCATACTGCCATGGAACTTCACCATCACCCATACAAAAGTATGCCTTGAATTTATCTCTACAAGCATATGCTTGCATTGAGGCTCTGCATCACATATTTGGAATATGTTTCAATCCATGAACTTCATGCTGATCAGTTTCTCCTTCATTGTTATTGGTAACCAAATCATTACAATGCAGTTTTTGCAAGTAATTATGCAAAATACAGCATGCTTTAAGCAGCTTTTCACATTTGGAGGGATTTGAATTGATATGCCTTTGAAATATTTGCCATCTCTGAGCCAGAATTCCAAAGGCATTTTCAGAAATTCTGCATGCCCTGGATAGTCGATAGTTAAAAATCCACTTGTCAATGGGTAGGGCTTTTCCTGGATATGGATGCAAAATTAAAGTACTGTTTAATAAACGAGCAGGAGTGTTTTATTAGGTTTAAAGCCACGAGCACGCAGCAGCATGTTATTAATATTTCGTATCTTTTGAACATCTCTAGTCTGTATTCATTTACAAGCATAGAGAACCAGAAGAGTGTTAAAAATTCAGTATAATATATAATCATATTGTACAACTGTATGCCTGAGTTCAAAATGTAAACAAAGCGTTTGTTTACATTACGGACTTTACATGGTCTTTAAATAAAAATAAAATCCTGAGCGGGTCCTTTTTTGTGGGCAGGCAAGGACGCTAACCAACTACTTTTTTATGTGGCCATATCAAGATTTTTGTGGCATCTCACTCGATTGAATAATATTTGATGGGTAGCTATTATAGATGGAAAATGTCAAGTGGAAATTTATGTATAGGTTATTTTGAGGCAACGTGGGGATATGTGATTTATTCACCGAGGCGCGCAGCGCCGAGGTGAATAAACACATATCCCCGAGGTGCCTCAAAATAATGTACTTATTTTTCACACTGCGAGGTCGCGTTAATGAGTCAGAAAAGAAATAATTCTTAATGCCATATTGTCTTCGCAATGTTGTTTTTTCTCATTTGAGGGGAATATTGAATATATTCCCTGACAAGAACAAAGGAAACCGAGCAGGGTGAAAAATAAGTACATTTATTGGACCTACATTACCCATCAAATATTATTCATTTGAATGAGATGCCACAAAAGTCTTGATATTTACCTCAGTTTAACCTTGTTGATTTCTGTCACAAAATATTTCTGTGCCATCAAGATAATTTTTAAATGTCTTGAATGCAAGACTTGAAGCTTCTGTTTAAGTGCCTATCTCATGATTGAGGTTTTTACATATTTACCATATTTCGAACATTTTAGGACAATTTGCTTAATATTCTCATCAGCAAAAATTTAATCTTCCTTATCATTTTTGCTGTTAAGGTAATTCCGCAGTTTTGCATTGCGCACTTTTACTGCGCACATCGTATAATTTATAATTCCATCCATTATATGTACCGTTTAAAAAAATCATTTTATGACAATTTTATGATACTTCAAAACATCTTTGGTTACATTCGTGCAAATAATTACGTTAAAATCAATGTTTTCAAAAAAGGCATACAAAAGTGTAGCTAGGGTTCCCTGTGTATGTAGTATATTTATTTACTTGTGTTACACGTTTTAATGCCACAATTCCCTAAAAAGATCGGTGACCCCCGTTTTTTAACTGATAATTTATTTCTTTAATGCATTTTACATTTCATATCTGAAATTAAAAGAAAAATCATTTTTGGATCTTGAAAAAAAATCCTTTATCAATGCATATTCTCAAAGAAAGATATGTAAAGAAATGTGGAAAAGACATTTATGGATCAGAATTGTACATGTTAGTAGTTTCATTTTGCTCAAAACACAATATTTTTTCAAAAATAATTACAAGATAGGTTTACTAAAGCAAAATCCACGCTAAAAACGTCAATAAATATCGGGCTGTTGTGATTTTGCTGTTACTCGTAATGAGCGTAAAGATGTGGCGCCATATTGGGGTAAAGGTGGTATTTTGTGATTGTCATATCTTCTTAACGAGTTCGGTGACTTTTTTTGTGAGATTTTACTTTAAGTATATCAATAAACTCCATGCCTGGGAAGTTTCAGCACATTCTCATTTGGGAACAATTACTGCAGAATTACCTTAAAGTAGGCTAATTTGAGTGTTTTCACAAAATGGCCAGGAGAAAGAAACCTGGAAACTAATTACCAGAAGTGACGTACACCCAGGGAGAAGCGAAGTGGCGTACACCCAGGGAGAAGCGAAGTGGCGAGGTCTGAAATGAGCAGTGTTATTAAAGATTATGGATAAAAGATACAAATTTTATAAACATGTCTACTTCCCTGTGTGATAGTGAAACTTCTGTCAATACCGATAACAGCCAAAACGACTTGGACACTGATTTTATATCGGGATATGTCTTCGAGGGTCAAAATAACAACAATGTTGCCAGTGCAACAGCTGCTAATGCAGAGGAGACGAACAATGGCTCACTGCCTTACGAAGGAGAGCCTATAGCAGATGATGTTTGGCTTGCCAACTACAACAGGCAAAAACGAAAGCAAGACGCAAAGAAATGGAAGGTCGTTTGGAGCAACCTGATTCTGTGCATATATGGTAAGTGACACGAAAAATGTAAAACAAAGAACATTTCTCAAGCGAATACTATATACTATTTATACAAATTCCTTTTACAATTTTTGTTAAGTGTAAATGTGGTAATTGTAGCACCAAATTGTTGCAAAATAGTAAAGAAGCACAGTGCTGTATGAAGATAGATGGCTGTGTTGAGCCGTAAACAGCGATCAAGTCCTCAGCGAAGCAGATAGTCCACCAAGTTGTGTGACATTTCATCCTGGGCTTAACCCTGTTTGTTTAGAAACCTGGTCACTTCGCCAAAGAGGACGAAAGTATTGAAAGACTGACAGGACTAAGTACCATAAGTCAGATTCAGAGAACAGGTAAGATAGAGAATATTCTTGGGCATTTCACGGTAGTGAATACTTGAGTTTTATTTACCAATTGTCCAAAAAAAATTAACATTATGTTGGAGTTATGGTTGGCAATTCATTAAGGTGGATTTCCAGTCCTCACACGAAGCTCCTCACAGCTTGCTGTGATTGCTTGCATTTAATTAAAATTAACTGTTTAGCATTGTGATTGGATGAAAGTGCTCATACATGCACTCGCAGCGAAGCTGCAAGGAGCTTCATGCGAGGACTGGAAATCCGCCTTTATTTGATAAACAAAGCAGTGGTGGATGAAACAAGGGTTGTGTGTCCCCCCCCCCAAAAAAAATATATTACGTCGGACACTTGTGTCACTGATCTTTGTTCATTTGTTAGAATGGCACTCTAGCAAACGCTGTTTTGTATCCTTGAAAACTTAACTGGTGAATTAATCTTTTGCCCCATCTCCCTCAAGAGCTTCCTAGTGACTTTGGTAACCCATTGTGCACACTCCAATAATTACATTGTTTCCATACATTTCTTTACTTTAATAGTATTCATGAAGTGCCTTTGGCTTTCCATTATAGATATCTTTGTGCAGTTTCATACAGGGAATTTACATACCTGGTTTACGGATACCTGCATGTGCATATCATGCAATTAGAAAAATTTTTTTGGAACACAAAGATTCTAAATGTTCAGGTTATGATGATGGACAATAGAGACCCACTGAAATTTGACTTTGTCAATCCCTCGAGTGTTCATTGCATATCAAAAGGAATTAAGTTGTTTCAGTTCATGTTTGTTACAAACTGAATGTTACCATGTCTTGTGGATTCTCTATGATCTGGAGTAACATAATTGTTACAAAGGAGGTTTGGGTATTTCCTACAAGCACAGTTAGTTGAGCAAGCCAGTTTTATTGTTTATGCAATTACAAAATTATGATATACTTTTCTATTGGAATATAAAGCACAACACACAATATAATTAGTCACAATAATTGTGCATCAGCTGATAAACAGCTCATCAATTGATCAGCTGAACATTGTGAAATTGCCAAGATAATGCACTTTTACTATTCCACACTATTTTGGTTCTTTGTACATCCCACAACAAATTTGTGTCCCTTCATTGGGTGCCCACAGGATTTACACCGAGGCTTTTGTCTTGTTGTCACTGCCACATGCTCTGCAGCCTCACAAACTACAAGAATAAAACACACACAATATACATAGATTAGTCCTGTGTGAAATATGTACCAATTAAGATCTATGCTGGGTATGATCCCATGTTGCATGCTTTCTGTAGTGTCTGTACCGTTGTAGTAAAATTAGGCAAAGGTATATACAACTCAACTTTTACTGCAATTATATAAAAAATACAATTTAAAAAAAATGTACCTGTTGCAGTTTGCTGGGACATCTTCAATCACCATTTGTTTTTGCTGATCCCTTTTTGCTATGGCTTCATCTTTGGGCTGTTTCTCGGGCATGGTGTCCATAGGCGATGGAGTTATTTCTGCCAGAACTTTGGAGGCACGGTCAACTTCAGTAGACTGTACAAATATCTCGAAAATATCATCTACATAATCTTGAAACACAACATGTCCAACATTAGAAAAAAGAATTGTAAATTAACCCATTAACCCTTCAAGTGGCAATGCACTCTGATGCACCCTACTTTATGTTTTTACTCTGTCTAACACCAGATGATTGTACTTGTCTTGCCACTCAATGGGTTAACTGGCAGTACAATACTGCTGATGATGTGGGTATGGCTACCATACTAACACTGGGGAGATACAGTAACGAAATTACAGTCAACATTCTGTACAGTGCACAGTATGCTCACAATTTAAAAATCAAGGAAATTATAACATAAACAACTAACATGCAACACATCCCAGGAAATTTAAACACAAACATTTTGGGGGCAAAATGATTTAGGACGGAGTGAAACCCTTCCAAACTACTTGTTTGTGAGTGTGGAGATGCTTGCATTATTCCACTCTTGATGCTTTTTTTGTCAAGGCTTTACATACTTTATCATAAACAGCAGAATCTAGAAAAATACTTGTGTCAAGTATTATGACATTTCATTGCACTATTTAACTACTAGGACCAGAATGCTTTGCAGGTATAATGTACTTTGCAATTACACTTGAATGTTGGAAAAGCATGATGGTCTTATTAGTAAAATAGTGCAATGAATTGTCATAATGGATAAGGTCAATTCAGAATGATTATGAGCCATTTGAACAATGACCTTTTCTTATAGTACATCAACTCATAACAAAATACTGTATCAGTATCTTTAATACAACAGTAGTAAAACAGCAAACATCTTTAAATAGCTCATTAACTCAATTCGATCCACCAATATTGATTTCCGACATATATGACGGGAAGATTAAATATTAAAGAGCTCCGCGAGTATTTGCAGTGGAAATACGAAAATACCACCAAAAAATTCCGATTGATCGATACTATATATTGCAAAATATTCATATAATTTTGTTGTTTCTTGCTCAATTTCAAGCGAATTTCTTACCTTGAAATGATCAATGCAGTGAAATTTATGCAAATGATGCATTACCAATTTTGCTGTTGCATTTCGAATGTTCCGCCTGATTCAAATCTTGTATCTTTGCTTATTTTCAACATATAATAAAGACAAATATACTAAAAGAATCGCCATCTTTCATTCTATAGCTCGGAGCAGTCTTGGGAAATTGCAAAATAATCTATGCCTATTATGGTGATTCTCGTGCTCAGAAAGTGTTTGGCCAACTTCGGATGCCAAATTCTTGGTAAAGCATTACAGTTTCCTGGTAAAAGACTGCAGAAATCACTTCCGGAGTGTGTTTTTTTTAACCCAGATACGGATTTTGATTGGCTTAGGCAGGAAAACAAACCTTTTACAGCAATTTTCCTGATTATCGTGCACAGCGCACGAGCATTGTAATGTATAATTGTGTTGTAATTGTATTGTTTGAATCGCATCCTCAACACGTTCTTGGCTTTATTTTGCAAACTAATAGTGCTAGTAATGATGGAATGTCTTCGTATGAAGACAAGTATCTCAACCTGGCATTGGGAGTTGTGTCTGGAGTTTCGAGGCAAGTATTTTGATCATTTTTAGACATTCCATTTCAATGTTTTGCCGTTGCCATGGCGTTGTAAATTTATTTGCATTTGGTATAGCTGTACTAGTACGACCAAGTATGTCCTCATATCGCATTTTTTGTGTTGAAATAATCCTTCCATACTGAAATTGACAAATATAAATGGTATTTATTTATACTGTTCACCAAAATTTATGGTGTTTTAGGCATAAAAAACTCTGTACGGGCTACCTGTACCGGTAGCGCCCACGGTGTGGTGCGTCAGCGGAGATACGATATATAAACAACATTTACGAACATCTAGGAGGCATTCGATTTAGACATTGTACGTTAGTTATATAAGAGATAATAAAGAGCAAAACAGAATCGCATCCTCAACACGTTCTTGGCTTTATTTTGCAAACTAATAGTGCTAGTAATGATGGAATGTCTTCGTATGAAGACAAGTATCTCAACCTGGCATTGGGAGTTGTGTCTGGAGTTTCGAGGCAAGTATTTTGATCATTTTTAGACATTCCATTTCAATGTTTTGCCGTTGCCATGGCGTTGTAAATTTATTTGCATTTGGTATAGCTGTACTAGTACGACCAAGTATGTCCTCATATCGCATTTTTTGTGTTGAAATAATCCTTCCATACTGAAATTGACAAATATAAATGGTATTTATTTATACTGTTCACCAAAATTTATGGTGTTTTAGGCATAAAAAACTCTGTACGGGCTACCTGTACCGGTAGCGCCCACGGTGTGGTGCGTCAGCGGAGATACGATATATAAACAACATTTACGAACATCTAGGAGGCATTCGATTTAGACATTGTACGTTAGTTATATAAGAGATAATAAAGAGCAAAACATGGTGTCAGGAGTGGGATCTTTTAACTGAAGCCGTGTGGATATATTTTATTGAAAAAATATCGCAACACGAATGTTAAAAGTGCAAATATTTCGAAGATTTACGTGACCCAGTAGACCGCCATATTGGATTTTCTGAATTCGGAAAAAAAAAAAAGAAAAAAAGCATGGCAACGTACCAGATTCCAGCACCAGAACCAATGAATTGCAATGGCGATGTCGCAAACAACTGGAAGAGTTTTCATAAAGCATATGAAGATTATTTAATAGCAACAGGCTTAGATCAGAAAGACAAGAAAGTTCAAGTGGCCACGTTGAAAAGTCTAATGGGAACTGAGTGCAAGAAAATACTTAAAAGACTTCAATTATCAGAGGCTGATATGAAAGATCCAGCTATTATTCTTGCAAAGCTGCAAGACCATTTCGTACCAGTACGAAATATTCTGTATGAGAGATATATTTTCCATAACACTGAACAGCAAGTACATGAAACTATTGACCAGTTTCTTATAAAGCTCAGGCAATTAGCTGAGCCATGTAACTTTGGAACACTAGAAGATGAGATGGTGAGAGACCGTCTGGTTCTTGGCTGTCGGGACAGTGCGGCCAGGACCAGGCTTTTCCACGAGAAAGATTGCACTCTCAAGAAAGCTATAGAGTCCCTTCGTATAAGTGAGACCACAAGTGAACAATTGAAGAAAATAGAGAGAGAAGACAATCAAGAGCCTGTCAATTATGCTCAGAGACAAGATGCAAAGAAACAGAATGTTTCAAAATCAGTAGATCGACAAAGAAAAGAGAGCGGGAACCAACTTAAACAAGGTGGCAAATGCAAGTATTGTGGTGGAGCTCATGAACGGGACAAACATAAGTGTCCAGCCTTTGGCAAGTCGTGCCGAAAGTGTGGAAAGGCAAATCATTTCCAATCAGTTTGCATGCAGAAGCAAGGAGTTAACCTTATGAATGAAGAATCATCAGATGACGAGTATGCCTTTTATGTCGAAACTGTTGACGCAATAAGACATGTAGAAAGAAAGCGTTATTTTGTATCCCTTTCCTTTTGGGATAAGGACGGTGATGAAAGTCAAATCCAATGCCAGCTTGACACAGGAGCCACCTGTAATGTCATGTCCTTCAATACCTTATGTGAAATCAAGCAGAGTGGAAGCCCAACCATGCAGCCAACTAACACCAAATTAAAATTATACAATGGGAGTTGTGTACCAGCCCTCGGAGAGTGTGACCTCAATTGCATCTACAATGGAGAAAGTCGCAGGCTTAACTTCAAGATTATCAAGGGCGAGCAGAAGCCATTGCTGTCTGGAGAGACATGTACAAGCATGGGACTTATCACTGTGCATATAGCTAATAGCATAAATACCTCTCCAATAACAGCTCCATCAGATATTTTCATGGAATATAAAGATGTGTTTGAGGGACTTGGCTGCTTGCCTGGTGAGTACCACCTAGAGATAGATCCTGATGCTCAACCTGTTAAGCATACCCCCAGACGAATTGCAATACCATTGAAAGCCGAGCTAAAAGCACATATTGAAACATTAGAAAAAATGGAGGTTCTCAAGAAAGTCACAGAGCCGACTGAATGGATTAGCAGTCACATTATTGTGCGGAAGGGATCCAAGCTTCGACTGTGTATCGATCCAAAGGACTTAAACAAAGCTTTGAAGCGGTCCCACTACCCGATGCCGACGATAGAAGAAATCCTTGCGAAAGCCAAAGTTTTTAGTGTTGCAGATGCGAAGAATGGCTTCTGGCAAGTCAAACTGGATGAAACAAGTAGCTAGCTCACGACATTCTGGACCCCGTTTGGCAGGTACCGTTGGTTAAGAATGCCATTTGGGATTGCCACTGCTCCCGAAGAATACCAGAGGCGACAACATGAGGTGCTTGAAGGTTTCCCTGGCATCCACGTAATCGCAGACGACATCCTGATCACAGGTCAAGGGGAGACACAAGAGGAAGCGCTTCGAGATCATGATAGAAATCTCGTAGCATTGCTGCAGAGAGCAAGGGAAGTGAACTTAAAACTGAATCCCAAGAAGCTGAAGCTTAGATTAAATGAAGTTCCCTATATTGGCCACCTGCTTACCCCCGATGGTGTAAAGCCTGATCCTGAAAAGGTGCGTGCGGTGCAAGACATGCCACGACCTGATGGACGTAACAGGGCAGAGAAGGTGAAGGCTCATGTGCAAAGATTCCTAGGCTTTGTCAATTACCTCGCCAAATTCGTGCCACATCTCGCAGACGAGAGTGAACATCTAAGACGACTAACCGACAAAGATGCTGAATGGGTTTGGGAAAAGCACCATCAAGATGCCTTCGATCGTATCAAGAAACTGGTTGCAAACCATCCAGTTCTATGCTATTATGATATTAGCAAGCCAGTGTCAATTCAGTGTGACAGCAGTGAGACTGGTCTTGGAGCTGCTCTGCTTCAAGATGGACAACCTGTGGCATTTGCGTCCAGGACATTAACGCCAACAGAAAGAGGTTACGCCCAGATAGAAAAGGAGTGTTTAGCAATAGTCTTTTTGTGTGATAGATTTAATCAATACATCTATGGAAGAAAGTCAGTGGATGTACAGAGCGACCACAAGCCCCTAGAAGCCATTTTTGGGAAGCCCTTGACAGCAGCTCCAAAGCGTCTTCAAGGCATGTTACTCCGTCTTCAGAAGTATAATCTTAAAGTTCGCTATAAAAAAGGAACTGAGATGTTTATTGCTGACACGCTTTCTAGGGCTCCTTTACCCGATGTCGGTCCTCCTGGGAACTGT